ATATATATATATATATATATATGTATATGCTGATAGATTTTGGATTCCAGTCAAAATATAAGAGTAAGTGTTTCATTGGATAAACAATGCGCATTAATAATGGGACAAAATGAAAAATAAATATTATTAAATTATCTTTCAATTATCTTTGTGTGTGTACGCGCGTATATTTGTACATTATTACAAACGATCGTTAGCACGTTTATCAGGTTTGTCGTGTAAAATATTTTTATTTCATGTACAGTGAGTTTTATCCAATATATCGACAGACCGGCTCAAAGTTTATTATAATTACAGGAAATAACTAGTATATTGAAGCTTTTCGTAAAATAAAGAAAGAATTGTTAAATAGAGCGGTTAACTTTCCAAACCGTCAATGTTTTTATTGTGCTTAACTATGAGATGAACATCTTATTGCACACATTATAATTTATTGTCAATGCTTACAAAAGAATGAGTTAATAAAAGATTTATTGAGAAAAAATTCTGTTTAATGCGAAATAGATAGAACTGAGATAACTATATTTCTGTCTATAATAATCAAAATTATTTCTATATGCTATTCCATTGAAATTACATCCAAGAATAATTTTAATTAATCAAATTAAAGAGAAACATTGCAATATGTGAAAGTCTGTTTTTTTGTACAGAGTACCTACTGTGTCACTATTAAATATTAATATGTGGATACGTAATAAAATAAAAAACATGTAAAGTGTTAAAAAATAATTTGATGTATTTGGCGACGAATACATTGTTTGCTGTTAAAAATGCTATTCAAATGTTTATATCGATATTCTATAGTAGTGTATGTATGTACAGCTTACAGAGATGTATGAGAGAAGTGTCTCGACATTTGACGATAAATTATTGTCTAAAATTGTCGCGATATTAATAGATATATATATGTATATTATTTATAGAGATATTCATATATTATATCCTTTTTTTAGGGGAATCCGGGAAACTTAATATTTCATTACGGGAGAGTTCAATTTTATAATAAATATTTCGTTCAAATTTCGTGCCAAGCACGTGCACTAACAATTGCGCACTTGGTGCGAAAATAAGTGATTCAACTTTCCCATATGATCAAATCTCCTGGACTTCTTATTTAAGTAAAGTATAAATAGTATAATAATTTGAGAATGAAAGAATGTCAGAGAGAAAGAGCGAATAGTATACTTATACGAATTCGATATATGTATATGTATTATTAGATAAATTAAATATAGATATACAAATAATAATTCATCGTCAACGTAGAGAAATGTTGAAGTATTTAGAATTACAGCTTTTCGAAGTTACATTTGGTTTATTAAGATCAAAACGGTCAAATATTAAAAACCGCTGAAATAAATTTATACAAATCATAGCTAACCGCTTTTTTATCCAAATCCCAAATATTGTTGATGAATGAATATTATATA